ATACTATCACTGACTCTTCACAATCCAGTTAACACAGTCAAAATATTTTAACATCATTGACAAATATATTGATATATGGTAATGAAATAATATTTAATGGATATCTAAAACAATCTATCAGAAGACCATAATTATTTTTCAGATGCACGTGTTCATTTAATATTCATTTTTGAGTTCTACCAAATGCAAAAGAAAACAACAAAACAAAACTGATCTTCTTAAGAATGAGTGACCTTAATTTGCCTGTGTACAGTAATTCAAATTTTGCAAGTTTTTCTTGTCTTGACACTTATCTTTCTTTTCATTTGTTTTTCACAATACTTTTGTGAGAAAATTGACTACTAATCTTTGCATATTATTCATGAGGGAGCTGACACTATGAGAATTTGTAATTGTCTTAGATCAACCCAAGTGGTTACCTTCTGACTAAGTACATATTTGTTGGCAATATGATAAAGGCTGTTATAATTAAAAAAAAGAAGAAAGAAATGCAAAGTGCTATCTCTCAAAATCAGGCCATAATGTTTCAGGCAGAAAGTTGAAAAATACATTTAAAGATACACACAGTAAGAAGCAGCCAGGATGTTTGCAGAGCATTTTTAAATTCTCCATGTCCATACATGTTATGCATTTGACTTTCATCATGTGCTGTCTGAGGCAGGCAGAACATTTGTTTACCCTGATCAACAGACTAGGCCAAGAGATGACCATTGTAGATTCAGCCATCCATAGCCAAACCAGAATTAGTATCTAAGTCACCCAACTGTGGTTTGGGCTGTGGTCAACACGTTTATAGACTGCCTACTGTGTGCATCCTAAAATACAATCTAGTCAATTCACAAAATTCTTTCTCCCTTAATTTTTAAGATGTAAGTCAATATTTTCCCGAAAGCAATAACCTTGAGTTGGCCTATTAGGCCTAGTTTTGCAAGTAAACACTCCACCCCACCCATCCTTTCTACCATATCTAATAGGACATCAAATAGGTAAAAGTTTGATTGACTGGGTGCTGCTCCTTTGTAGAGGCTCCTGGTTCCTTTGAAAGAACCTCCTCTAGTTGAAGTAGATGGAACTGGTGTTGGGTGTCACACTGGTAACAAAGTGATCTTTATGCTAAAAAGCCAAGAGGTTTCTCAGGGGAGTTGCCACAGGCTTCAGTGGAATGACAATTACAAGGTAGATGGATCATTTAATGCCTGCTGTGACCTTTACAATAGTGAGGATCATTATTTTAATGTTAATTTGCATAATGATTGGCCTAGCAAGAACAATGGTGAAGGCTAATAGCTGCAGGATGCAATAAAATTAAACATTCTCTGGGCTGAACTGCTAAAGGAAAAGTTGCCAAAGTATGACTCTTTAAGCACTTAATTTCATCCCAGGTTGTGTCCACAGGTAACCAGATGCGGATTTCCGGTATCTCTTGAAAAACTGGCAAGAAATGACTGGAAGTGAAGAGTAGCAGCTTTCCTAATATAGAAGCCTTACCTAGTAGGCTTTGCTTTTTTACATAACTTGCCCATCTCCTCTGAGGTAGTTGAATATGCAACTACCACCCCTTCCCCAAACAACTCCCCACCACTATTCTAGGCCATTTCTCACATCTGGCAGATACCCCACATTAGATACCATAGAAAGAATGAATCTCACGTTATGGGCTGAAACACTTTAAACGAAGCCTTTGAAAAAGATGGAATTGACCATGGCTAGAAGTGAGGCAAAGAGACACTGTCACCACCTCTAAGTAATAACTTTGCATTTTGAGTTGCAGGTGGAAGGTGACAAAGAGAATAAAAAGAGGTCATCTCCATTTAGATTAACTGTTTTTAGCCAGTTCTGTTGCCTGGAAAATGGGTTAGTATGGTCATCCTGTACTTTGTACTCCAAGTCAGTCTTGGGAGATTATTTATTTACTCCTTATTTACTTATTGACTTCTTTCTCCCAAGCGTTTAAACTCATTTCCACCACAAGAGGGCAGCCATCTCTAAAAAACAACCAGAGCTCCTGGATCTTACGAGAGAAATAGGGACATGTAGGAAGTTGTGCTGGGGAAAGGCATTCAGCAGCCGCTCAGAAATCACGTATCACACAAAAGAGAGATCCTTTGAGGGGCAGCACTGAAATGGAATAACGTATCCAGAAGAGCCAGTTTTCTTCCAGATTCTTGACTAAGGAAGATTATTTCATCAACTGACAAGGTCTCTATTTCACAAGTTACGAAGGCCTAAAGCTGCAAGACATTCTTGATGTCATCACCAGATATTTGTTTTCTGAGGAGCATCCAGCGTCTATCAACTTTCTCCTCCTCTTTAAAAGCTGCGTACTGATTTAGCGTTCATAGAAGTTTTGTTCTTTTAAATCTCACTGATGACAGAAACTTTTGTTAAACTTGATAGGGAAGGAAATCCTTTCGGAAGCACAATAAACACTTTTTGACTTCACTGTCTTATGAGCAGAATGTATTCTATTGTCAACTTGTTTTGTGTCCAGTGATTCAGAGTAACCGTCAACTAACACGCTGTTTTATTTTCAGGGAGAAAAAAAAGAGCATGTTCCTGAATATTCCCTGTTCCCCCATTTATTTTCCTAGTAGGTAGTCTTCCTCTGAAATACCTTATTTGACCTTTATGCTTTCAGAAACAGCAAGCGCCTAATTCCCCTCTGTGGGTTGCTAATCCGATTTATGTGAGCAGAACCTAGAATTATTTTAGCTCCCAACTGAAAAAATAATACACATGGATAATAGATTGTTATGGGCTCCCATTTCAAGACTTTTGTCCTTTTGCTTGCCAGGCTGAAGGTTCTGTGCAGGTGAACCTGATCTTGCCAAACATCGTTTCCAGAAGCTTTCTGCCCTTAGCTTCTGGGATCATTTGGGCAATCCCTCAGGCTATGCAGAGAGGATCCCGGAATCCTGGGAGGGACAGAAAGCCTTGGCCTCAAAACACCGTAGTGCAGCAGATTTGGGGAGTATTTCAGCTGAGGAAGATAAGTGACTGGACCATATGTCATCGACCTGCTTCTGAGGCCTTGTTGGAAGGGGGTGGTGCAGAAGGTTCTGAGGTCTCAAACCAGAATTGTCTTCATGGTTGGCTCACACTGCATTACTTTAGCTTCCTCTGAGCTGCTAATCGCCTGCCCGTGAGCTGGGCAAGTTAAACATCAAAAGGCATGTAGTGATTGCTACCTTAAAAAGAAATCAAATCCCTCTCATTTTCTCTTCATGCACGCACACACACACACACATACACAAAACACACACACATACACACAGAGTCCACATTGCTCATGTCATGTGCAGCAGGATGACATCCATTTCACATACATATTTACAGAAGTATGTGCTTTTGTTAGCATGTATTTACATATATGGATCTATTTATAAAGACATACATGCATATATTTGTGTATTACATATATTTATCTGAATAAAGCACGTGCATGCTTATATAGATGTAAGTTCGTACATATGCATTCACAAATGTAAATATATATATCTGTTTGTATTCGAGCTTAAATGACAAGCAGTTTCCAATCTTCCTGTTAATTGTCCTATCCGGGAAACACAGATGTGTCTAATCAAAGCCTATGCCAAGATGCCTTATAATTTGATTGAGGTTTGTTGGTCTTTTTCTCTCTTTTTAATCGTCTATTGCTGAAAAACTTCAAACTGAAAGTTAAATAACGGGTCGGGTGGGGAAATAAAGGCCCGACCCCATACGTGCCCCGGATTCCGTCCCGGGAGTCCGGGAGAGGGGCCGGCGCTTCAGCTGATCTCGCTCTGAGGCGGGGGCTGGAGGCGCGAGCGCCCCCCGCGGCGGCCACGCGTCCCCGCCCTCGGCCCCACCCCGCCGCGGCTGCCCCGGCGCGCCGTCCACACCCCTGCGCGCCTCTCCCGCCCGCTCGGGGATCCCCGGCGAGCCGCGCCACCGAGGGGGAGGTGTTCGGCCTGGGCCGGGAGGGAGACGGCAGGCAGCGTCCCCTTTAAAAGCCGCGAGCGCCGCGCCACGGCGCCGCTGCCGCCGTCGCCGCCGCCGGAGTCCTCGCCCCGCCGCGCTGCGCCCGCCGCTCTGCTTCCCACACCCCGCCGGAGACTGGCAGCTGCCGCCGGACAGCCGCCGCCACAGGCTCAGCCGCCGACCCGAACGACCTCGGGGCGAGCGCCTAGCGGATTACTGGGGGCTCCTAGGCACCCGCGCGCCGCAGACCCCGCGCGGGCTGGAGCGCCCGGCTGCCCGGGCCGCGCCACAGCCGAGGACCCGCGCGCAGAGCGCCGGAGAGCCTGGAGCCGAGCCTGAGCGCCGCGATGCAGATCACCTCCCGCCGGAGCTCGGGGGCCGGGGACGAGCCGGCCGAGGTGTGATCCGACCCCAGGCTGGCCACAGAGGGCACAGCGGCTTGGCCCGGGGGCTAGGAGCGCGAGGGGAGTGCGCGGCCACCCGCCTCGGCGGCCCGGGACTCAGCTCGACTCTCCGGAGAATGCGCCCGACAGCGCCGGAGCGCCGGAGCCGGGGCGGTATCAGCGGGCGAGCGCCGATGGGGGTGCGCTGGAGTCAGGCAGAGTGATGCGGGGGGGCACCTCGCCCGGCACCGAGCTCGCCGCTGCGCCCTTCCCCGGACCCGGCGTCTCCCAGGATGGCCGCCCCGAGCCATGGGCCGCGGCGGAGCTAGCGCGGAGCGCCCGACCCTCGTCCCCCGAGCCCCGGAGCCCGCCCCGCGCGGGGCCACGCGTCCCGCCGCCGCTGGTTCCTAAGGACAACGACAGCACCAGCGTTTCCTCTCTCCCTTCCCTTCCCTGCCCCGCACTCCTCCCCCTGCTCGCTGTTGTTGTGTGTCAGCACTTGGCTGGAGACTTCTTGAACTTGCAGGGAGAGTAACTTGCGCTCCCCACTTCGCGCCGGTGCCTCAGCCCCTGCGGACCCAGCCTCCCCGCTGCTCCGCTGGGCCCGACCGGAGACGCCGTACCCTGCGTGAGGAGAGGCACTGCCCGGCCGGCACCCGAGAGGAGGAGGAGGAGGCAAAGGGAGGGAACCCGGTCCCTGCGCCAGGGCCTTCGGCCAGAGCTTTTTCCATGTGGAGGCTCTTTCAATGGACGTGTCCCCGCGTGCTTCTTAGACGGTCTGCGGTCTCCTAAAGGTAGAGGACGTGGGCCGGGGGCTGGCACTGGAGGGCTGGGCGCGGGGCCCGGGCCGCCGCTTCGGAGGAGCCCCTCCCGGGGCCGGGCTGGGCCGGACGTAAACAGACCCCCCTCCAGGTCCACGTGCTGCCGAGCCCTGCGGGGATGCCCCCGTCCCACCGCCCCGGGCGACCGTCAGCCTCGCCTTCCTGGCCCGCACTACTCCTCCCCTTCTCCTTCCCCTCTACGGTGTTTTATTAGGGCTGTTAACACTTAGATGACTTAAAAAAAAAAAAAAACAGTCAAATCCCTTCGAGAGGGTGGCCCCTGGATTTCACCCGTTAGCTGCCAACCTGTATGCCCTGCCAGGGCGATCCCTTCTCGCTTCTTCGGGTTTCTCCGGAAGACCTGCTCTTTCTGCGTTCCCTTTGGGAAAATACTAGAAGTTGGGGTTCTCCCTGTTTGTTTCCAGGAATGCTTAGGGGGGCAGTACTTTAGTGTCATCTTACACTAACAAGTGAATTAATAGATATTAACCATTTACGTAATCCCAGGAAGATACCTGTGCACCTTGACTGCACTGGGTGGGGGCGGGGACGGAGTGGCCTGTCCTGACACCTCTGAAGTCAAAGGGGTGGGTCACAGTTACAAGTGGCTTCGGAAGTTGTGGCCTTGAGTTTACCGGGTCTGGAAGTTATAGGCTGTGCGTGTGTGTGTGTGTATCAGGAAGTTCTATACAGTGCCTCTAAGGAAGTCACATGCACTATTCGTGCGTGTTTATATGCAAGCGAGTGCCGGGCAGTGTGTGTTTGGGTTTGTTTAGGGAAAGGAGAGGTGTCAGACCAAGAGTGGTTTCCCCAGGTTCCCTGCACTGCCTGCCTGTCAGCGCGAGTGTCACAGAAAAAAGGTGACAGTCATTGACGCCCTGGAGGGGGGTGGCAGAGGGAGTGTGTACAAATGTCCGACAGACTGAGAGTGGGATGGGAGGGAAAAAGCCTTTTGGCTCAGGAACTAGGGGCCTTCAGTTTTCCCAAACGTTCGAACTTCAGCCTTTTTGAAGTATCCCCGCGACTGTTGCAAGCCAGGTGGGCACCCTGGAGGAGGAGGCAAACCGACCCAGAAGCCGCGGGGGCGGATGTGGGGAGGAGGGCTGGGCGGGGAACTCCGTGACTCACGTCGGCCCTGTCCGCAGGTCGACCATGGTGGCCGGGACCCGCTGTCTTCTAGCGTTGCTGCTTCCCCAGGTCCTCCTGGGCGGCGCGGCCGGCCTCATTCCCGAACTGGGCCGGAGGAAGTTCGCCGCATCTCCTGGCAGCTCCTCGTCCCAACCCTCGGACGACGTCCTGAGTGAGTTCGAGTTGCGGTTGCTCAGCATGTTCGGCCTGAAGCGTAGACCCACCCCCAGCAGGGACGCCGTGGTGCCCCACTACATGCTGGACCTGTACCGCCGGCACTCGGGCCAGCCGGGAGCACCAGCCCCCGACCGCCGACTGGAGAGGGCAGCCAGCCTCGCCAACACGGTGCGCAGCTTCCACCACGAAGGTGAGGCGTGGAGCAGCGAGTGGGGGCGGAGACGCGGGGCGGGCAGTCATCTCGCAAAGCGCCTCACCGTGGGCAGACTGCAGGAATCCCTGGAAGGGCGGCTGGGCCAGGGCGCCCCAGACGCCTGTCTCCGTTCTTGCCTCTGTAAGAATCTTTCCGAACCTGGCTTTAACTCACTGGCTATGTGGCGGGGCAGCCAGGGATTCCCCTCTGGTAAATCCGCACCCTTTTCCTGGCTGGCAGCCAGAAGAGCGGCGACTCCTCCAGGAACTGGAGAGGAATCAAGTGATGGGGAAGATGAGGGCAAAAGGCATGCTCCTAGTCAGCTAAACGTGCAAGAATTCCATAGGGGAAGAATGAGAAGGAGGGGGACAGAGTGGGATCTAAGCCTCTGTCTGGAAGCCCTTGCTCTATAAATCTGCTTCTCCTGCTTCAGCCCCGGGTTTCAGGCTAGACCGAGCCAAGGGCAGAATTCTGAGAGATAGTACTGAAAAATCAAAGCCAAGGGTCCCAAAGTCTTTCTAATTTACAGTTGATCTGGGCCTGGTTTGGAAGATTTCAAATCCCTATCTAATCCCCGTGGGAGATCAATTCCACAATCAATCTTATTGTTTCCACAATGACTTTCTTGTCTTGTGCTTAAATCTGAGATGAACTCCCTTCAGATAAAAGCTTTTACAGCAGCTGCCTGTTCTCCTTCATGTGCATTGAATGTGGGGTTTTCTTTCTTTTATGATACTGAATGTGGTTTTTCTAAGGTAGGATATTTCTGCTTGTTTCATCAGAAAGGCATTTGGTGGATTTGAAATGTCTTAGAACAGCTATTGAGATCTGTTGTACCCAAGTTCTTAGAGCAATTAGTCAAAAATATGTTCCGCTTCAGTTCTTTTTCTACACCTTTCTACATGCTTAATGCCTTTTAAATAGAGCATGGTTCCTTCAAAGTTCTAGAGAAGAAAGGGTCCAAGGTGTATATCACAGAGCAACGGTTTGTAAGATATTGGAGAATTGGAAATAAAGTTCCCTTTTTCTTGCCTTAGCCTCCTGAGGTGGTAAATTTCAAGTGGAAAACTACTCTCAGATATAAACAAATAAGAAATGTCAAGCCAGGCATTTTCTACAACATGAAGGATGACCTATGGCTTGTGAGAATAGTGCTTGATACTGGAAAGAAGTCCCAAAGGCAGGCCACGTAACAAAAAATATTTCTTCACCAAGGCAGCCATATCTTGTAAAGGGGACACTGAATTGATAATTGGTTCATTTTCCAGCACATTTCTGAGTGAGGTGTTCTCTGCTAGTAGAAATCAGATTTGAAATAAATCTCATTCTACTCATGAAGAACTCATCCAGTGAAAGCAGTTGTCTGTTGTTCATAGGTAGAAATGTTTCCATTTGTGTACATTCTGTCATCATAACCTTGAAGTGATTATAGATCCAATTCATTCCCAGCTGATGCTGATTAGAATTGTTTTTCAGGATTAAAAAAGTAACAAGAATAGCTATTTCAGCCACCTCTTCTGGAAGTTTAGCATGGTTAACCATTCTTTATTTTTAAGGCCAGGAAGGCATTGGGTGTCTCTTACAACTTTAGAAGGACCATCATATAAGTCAGTTGATACCTAAAACACTCGTTTGCATGAGGATTGTGTCAATGATGCCTACATATTTCTCATTCTTCCTTTAGAAATAGCATGATCAAAACTATACAGGCTACAAATTACTTAGGTGTGTTATTTTAACTAACATGCTTGAGTTCACAAGTCAGAATTTATATCTTTAAAAGTGTAAATGTTATGTGCAAAGTAATACAGAAGTTACAAACTTGTTTAAAATCAACTTGCAATACATTCCAATCCTGGTGTAATTAGATGATAGAGAAAAGCTATGTAATTTTAGCCCCAGATTTCAACAAATCCATTTTTTTCCTTGTTATTACTAGTATATCATTTTTAGTCTGCATACTAAACTTTTTAAAGACCATTTCATTTTTGTATAACTCAGGCTTTGTTTTTTTATAAATATCCTTGAGCCATGCGGAGCACTAAAATTTGGCTCTTAAGAAACCTTGCGATTAAAGCTGCTGGTTTAAGAGCAGAATTTGGTTCATACTGCATTAATGGGCATTTATTTGATAAGGGAACAAAGGACCTGATTCCAAGAATTACCTATTGATTTTATTTGTGAATGAGATCTGAATGATTTGGTGAATTACAAGAGAAGAGATACCATAGTATAGTTCTTTTAACCACTGTGTGAAGATAATGGGACCACATAGTAGGAAATCGGAGGCGAAATTATCAGTTGTTGATATGAAATTTTGTCTAGTCCTATGTATAGTGGCTGATATTTGGGAGAGCCCAAGCACTGCAAAAAAAATTTTCAGTTGTTCAAAAGTACTTTGGGCCCTAGTCCTTTCAGAACTGACCCTGAGGATAGAAAAAAAATCACTTTTCCACCTGGAAAGAGTGTTTTGTGCTTGACTGTAGATAAAAACATATTGAAATTGCTAGACTTCATTGGCTTTTCAAAAACTCTTTATGCTTTCCTGTCCAATTGGAATAAAGAAGAACCTTGTGCTTGCTCTCCAGACTTTTTTGCATGAAATTACTGAATTATTTACCTCTATGATGAAAGCCTTCAAATAGAGATTAATCTTGTTTCCACAAATACAATTATCTTGAAAACACTCTATAATAGGAGAATTCAAGAAACAACCATAGCTAGCCCTGTACGGAATGTGTATCAGAAATGCCCAATGTTAACCAAAGGATTTGGATGCATATACCCCTGAAACCAGTCCTTACCTTATGTGCTTCCCCAGCCGTCCCTAGTATTTCTGTGTGATTAAAAAGTCCTCAATAAATAGAAAGTGCTTCCTTTCTATTTGGAAGTGCTAATAGAGACTGAGGGTTTGGGGCCCAGGGAGAGTTCTCGCACTAATGTTTTCTGTTCCACCTGTTCTTAGTGGCTCCTGTATATTCTCTCTTGATCCCTTCTCTTTGAGCTATTTTATCTTTTTGTAGACTTGCCCTCTGTGTATTTCACTTAGTCCTCAGAGGACAATAAGAGGGTACTGGATTATGCCAAAGGTGTTAGAGCTAAGAGTGGGCAGAGGCCAGTCAGGGTCAGTGATGACGACCATGCTTTTTCTTTAGGTGCCCTTCTGTTGTCTTTTTTTTTTTTTTTTAAGTTAACTGCTTTTAACCTTTGTATTTTATGACTTTCTCTCCTTGACACATCAACTCTCTAGCCATTTTTTTATATCCTAGAAAATATTGTTTATTATTCTCAGCTCCTTTCATTTCCTTTTCAGGGCAGTGATTTCCAACCTTACTGATTTGCTAGAAATTCCCAGGTTTTTGTCATCGTTGTTTTTATCATAATGAGATGATATGTGTCCATAGTGTTGTAGAATTCTCAAAACATGATTAAGACACTTTTTTGCTGAAAGTTGCCATTTCTTAAGACAAAAAGGCAGCCACAAAATATCAGTGGCTCCAAACAAGGCCTATATATCCCCATGGGCGCAGCCACTTACTCTCCTCTTCATTTAGTTCTGTCTGGTCTCTCTCTTTAGTTGGGAAAGAACTCACCATATGGTTTTCACTGTGTCAAATATAAACATGCCCTAATGGTTTTGACTTTTCTTCGAGCTTTTGACTCCTTTTCTGTGTTAGATAATGTCATCTAATGGCCAGAAGCTTGGCAACTGCAGTAGACTCATGTTAATAGCTTTGCTCCTCATTTACTAGTTCTGTGACCTTAGGAAAGTCACATAACCTCTCTGAGCTCCAACTTCATTTACAGAATGAAGTAATAATGGCTCCCATCTAATTGATTCATTGTGAGATAATTTATATAAAGCTCTGAGTGCCACACATGGCACAAAGCAGCATTCAGTATGCTAGCTATCATTATTCTGATGGCTGCTTTTAATATTCTCTCCTGGTCTAGGGAAAAGTAGACCAGAGTGAACCTAGGCCAGCTGAAGGAACTCAGCCCCATCTTTTGGATTATTTTGATGTTGATGAATAATTGACAGAGTGTACATGATTAAATTAGAACTTCCGTTTTGGAGGAGAGGTCAAATGTTACTGTTGTCTTATTTTTCTTTACTTCCCCACATGTTTGCAGCCATAGTTCCATCTATTTGGATAAGAATTTAGAGATTCAGGGTAGACTGGAATCCTCAAATCCTTTGGCAAGTTCACCTTACTCAACAAGGGTTGTTTACAGAGAATTAATAACTGTAAAACCTCTCAGAAAGCATACATCACCTATTTAGAGCTTGAAAATACTATATATTTCAGAATCCCCAAGCTGGATGTGATAATTTGCAGCTTTTTTACTTTATTTCAAAAAAGTTTTTATTTTTCTACTCTGAAGAAAAATAAATAAGGCTCCTTTCTTACAGATTAAAGGGAAAGGGTGGTAAGTACCCTAATCTTGGGCATTTTTTTCCTGGTTAGGGGGTTTTCTCAGCACCTTGATGACCTGAATCTACAGTCAGAAGTGTTGTACTGGAGGCCTTCATGTTAAGGAGGGTTAGGAGTCCTTCATGGAGAAGGTTGACTGAATTGAAGCTGAAAAGTTGGAGAAAGGTCTTCAGTATTGTTATGATTTAATAGTGCAGTTTCTTTCTTTTGCTAAGCTCTCTAAGTGGTTATCCTTTTTGCCACTTCCAATGAGATTTTGAAGTGCATGAAATTGCTGTTTTTATAGGTCAAATCTGGTCAAATGGTGGCAATTTTATGTGATTCAATCTTATCAAAAGGTTTATCTTTTGGAGGTTTCTGCCCTTCTTCTTTACTTAATTTTCCTGTTCCTTAGGCCTGTCTTGGTGATTGTCCTTTCACTGTTATCTTGTGGCCATGTGTGTGTCTGTCACTGTATCTGCATGTTTATAACTTCTTTCTTGTTCTTTTTTGGGTTTAGGTTCAGAATTTTTGTTGGAACTGTGACTTCTCTGGGTACCTTTATTAATACGCTGTTCAGCAAATGCTCTGGATGATTTTCCTCTCCTTCCCCCTCTTTAAAAGAAGAGAGAGTGTTCTTAGGTGTGCTGGTGTCAGAGAAGTCAGGAACTCAGGCCCAGCTCTAGCTCTGTGTCATTGCATCTGGGGGCCATGACTGATTTTTTTCACTGCACCGTTTTGCACTGGTCACTGTTGGCTTCCCTGCTGAAAGAATTCCTGTAGTGGAAACATCAGAGAGCCCCTGCATTCCAGGGAGGAGAGGAAAGGAGAAGCTAAATACAATCCTTACTACTTGTTGGAGCCACTGAAGAGAGCCCTGGTTGGATTGGTGGGAGAGTTGTTTTTAAAATAGTGCCTGGCCTGAAGTACCCTAGCTTCCAGTGTGGTTTAGAATGTGGATGGCTTCTGAAAGGTATCGCGGACAGGTGTGGACTAGTGGGCCTGGGGGGGGCCATGGAGGGCTCACTTCTTGGCCTGGTAGTCTCCATGTTGAAGTAGATGAGCTTTAGGAGATCTTTCTGTTCTGAGGCCCTGTCTTAATCCTTGACTAACACTGATGTTTCTTCTACCTGTTTTTATTACAAAAAGACACTTTAAAATATGCTCCTGCCAGTTTACACTTGCATGTGAAAAGCATCCTTTAAAACCTTGATGCTCTAAGAGCAGTCTAGGAGCGCCCAGCCTCTCCTTACCTGGGAGCTTGCTAGAAATGCTGAATCTCAGTTGTCACTCTAGACCCAATGAATCAGAATCCTTCTGAATATTTAAGGTGTCTTGTGTGAAGGTTATGGTTTGAAAAGCATCCCACCAAAGCATTACTCCATAATTTAGTGAACTTGCTGCTTCCACTTAGCTTTTCATGGTGACCCTTGCTTTGATGTACAAAGGTTGAACCTTTGAGTGAGTGGTCTGAAGTGATTCCGCTCAGCTAAAGTGTCTAGATCCTGTGACCAACTTACAGCTCTTTGATTTAGGGGAAATAAACCATAAACCTAATGAAAATATGGTGACTTTGTTAGCACTTAGTTGGATCCTGAATGAAGCAGGTACCTTTTTTTCTGACAATGAAATGACAAGATGTGGTAAAGTGAAAAGAAATAAACCCAAGTATCTCAGATTTTAGTGCTGTTTACTATCGATTTAATGGTAATGTATATTTTTGATGATTTGCAGACAGAAGCATCCAAGGTTTTTGCATAGAACACAGTACACACTAAAATTGAAATTTGAGAATCTTAAATCCGAAAGAGCTTTTATATGTATAGCCCAGTTAAATGACTATTTTGAAATAATAATAATAGATACAGACTGATTATTCTGTAATAGATGATATTACAGATAATAATATAATAGATGCAAGGGCATCATGAATAACATTACGGTATTTTTATAGATTTTTACACATTTTTTTGGTTTTGTGTCTATTCTGCAGCCTGTTATTTGGTAGGTGTATTTTTTAATGCCTTATTTTTTTTTAAGATAAAGGAATTAAAAACAGAAGAGAGTCATTTTTTTTTCCTTTCAAAAGCACGTAAAATGAGAATTTTATTTCTGAGGTCATAAGGAGGTGAGAGAACAGTCTGCAGTTGGGAAGTTATTTCTCTTGAAATTGTCTAGTCTTAATTACTACAGTGTCCCAGCCTTAACGTTTAGTGTACCCTTAACATTTCCAAAAGAAGTAGATCCTGTAAATGCCTGTCTCTGGACTTTGAGTCAAATAGTAGGGTGTGCTTTGCAAGATGTCATCATTGATGTTGAGTTCCAGAGTCTTTAATTAGGAAGCTGAAATCTGTATATCGAGATTTGTAAATCATTTAAATTGCAGAGTAACATTTTAGAATATCACTTAAGGGATTGACATTAAAGCCTTTTTCTTTTTAAGAAATGCAATAATTTCCTCAAATCCTCACTCATTAGACCTCTACTAACTATAGTGCTGACTTTTTTTTTTTGCCCTGCAGTCTGAGTTCCAAAGAAGTACTTCACTATTTCCTCCATTATTATAGCCACCTGGAAACAGTATTTATGTATTGGATAAAAATCATAACAATTGTGAAGGTTTGTTTCATGGTATGCATGTTGACATAAATGTATAGAAAAGGGAAACTCCTTTCTTTGCTTAAGGGACAGAATTTTATTTTCTAGTTGCAAACTTTTACATGGGTCAAATCAAACCCTGATATAAGGTTTACCAATTCTCATATATAATGAGTTTGTCATTATTTATCTTACTGAATGATTTTTCTTCTTCTTTTCCACTTTTTTATATCAAATTAGAATCTTTGGAAGAACTGCCAGAAACAAGTGGAAAAACAACCCGGCGATTCTTCTTTAACTTAACTTCTATCCCCACTGAAGAGTTTATCACCTCAGCAGAGCTTCAGGTTTTTCGGGAACGGATGCAGGGAACTTTTGAAAACAATAGCAGTTTCCATCACCGAATTAATATTTATGAGATTATAAAACCTGCCACAGCCACCTCGAAGTTCCCTGTGACCAGACTTCTGGACACCAGGTTGGTGAATCAGAATGCAAGCACGTGGGAGAGTTTTGATGTCACCCCTGCGGTGGCGAGGTGGACTGCCCAGGGACTCACCAACCATGGCTTCATGGTGGAAGTGGCCCACTTAGAGAACCAAGGTGTCTCCAAGAGGCACGTTAGGATTAGCAGGTCTTTGCACCAAGGTGAGCACAACTGGTCACAGATAAGGCCACTGCTAGTAACTTTTGGCCACGATGGAAAAGGACATCCTCTCCACAAAAGAGAAAAGCGTCAAGCAAAACATAAACAGCGCAAACGCCTGAAGTCCAGCTGTAAGAGACACCCTTTGTACGTGGACTTCAGTGACGTAGGGTGGAATGACTGGATTGTAGCCCCGCCGGGGTATCATGCCTTTTACTGCCATGGGGAATGCCCTTTTCCCCTGGCTGATCACCTGAACTCCACTAATCACGCCATTGTGCAGACGTTGGTCAACTCAGTAAACTCTAAGATTCCTAAGGCGTGCTGTGTACCAACAGAACTCAGTGCTATCTCCATGCTGTACCTTGATGAAAATGAAAAGGTTGTATTAAAGAACTATCAGGACATGGTTGTGGAGGGTTGTGGGTGTCGTTAGCACAGCAAAATGAAATAAATAAATAAATAAATATATAAAAAAAAAAAAAAAAACACCAAGTTGACACTTTAATATTTCCCAATGAAGACTTTATTTATGGAATGGAATGGAGAAAAAAACCGGCTATTTTGAAAATATATTTATATCTACGAAAGGAAGTTGGGAAAACAAATATTTTAATCAGAGAATTATTCCTTAAAGATTTTAAAATGTATTTAGTTGTACATTTTATATGGGTTCAACCCCTGCACATGAAGTATAATGGTCAGATTTATTTTGTATTTATTTACTATTATAACCACTTTTTAGGAAAAGAAATAGCTAATTTGTATTTATATGTAATCAAAAGAAGTATTGGGTTTGTACATACTTTTCCAAAAATGGTAGTTGTGTTTAGTTGTGTGTATTTAAGATGAAAAGTCTACATGGAAGGTTACTCTGGCAAAGTGCTTAGCACATTTGCTTATTTGCAGTGCTACTGTTAAGGTCACAAGTTCAAGTCCAGAAAAAAAAAGTGGGTAATCCACTCTGCTGACTTTCAAGATTATTATATTATTCAATTCTCAGGAATGTTGCAGAGTGGTTATCCAATCCATGAGAACTTACATCCTTATTAGGTGGAATATTTGGATAAGAACCAGACATTGCTGATCTAATATAGAAACCCTTCTCCCACCCCTTAATCTGTAGAAAGAACAAAGCAGGACCAATAGAAATAACTGGGAAAATTATGAACCTGCAGGAAAGTGAATGATGATTTGTTGTTCTTCTTTCCTAACCTAGTGATCCCTTCAGAGGGGCTGGTCTGGCCAAAGTACTAAATAAAACATGAGATTTCTTCATTATTGATATTGTGGTATATTTAAAATTGATATCTAGTGGCCCTCATGGTTGGAAATTGATTTGTGTTTAAATTAACTTTTATCTCGTCCGGGAGCGCTTTGTGCTCGTAAGGACCTAATTTTCTAACTTTGCTCAATACACAGCAGAATCGTGCCCATCATGTTTTCTTCCCATCCCTATTTTCTGTGTGATCAGCTTATGTTTCTTTCCTAGGCTATGGTTTCAAACACATTTCTCCAAATGTTAAACCTATTTCAGATAATAAATATCAAGTCTCTGGCATTTCATTTTATAAAGCTGACCAGTAAGAGAAAATTTTACAGCATTCACAGTGATTACCTTTTGTTTGCATTTTTGCTTCTTAAGTTACTCATTGTGGAGGGAGGTGGGGGGAAAAGCAAGCAATGTTTGGTAATTTGCAAGCAAGTCATTTGATAATTCATATTTGCACCAAAGGAATTACCAGTGATTTAGTGTTTTATATGAACTTTTTTGGAGCAGAAAGATTTAAGAGAAAACTAGAGCTACAAAACAAAATGTGGGGAGCCTGAGATGAAGTTTCAGAGATGATATACCATGCAGCAGAGACAATGATGCCAAGAAAGTTAGAAAGGGAAAGTGTCTGAGATCAGCTTTCTACAAGAACATCTGCCAATTGGACTGAAGCCCAAGCAGAATGAAGTCAAATTAGGCCACTCAGAATGAACACTTACCAGTGGCAGGACTTCTGTGCTCTGGGTTGAAATCAGACCCAAAGAAGGTGGGTGTTTGCATAGCCCAGGGACCTACAAAGCCCCACTATTTTACTGGAAGTGTTAAAGGTCAGTTTCTAGGATTTTGTGTGATCTCTGATCCTGATATGATTGGTGAGACCAAGTTTTAGTCTTTCCTGGCCCCTCCCTGTAATTGCCTGGAAAAATAGTGTGTTAGTAAAGGAACAGACTGTTATACTCAGGTTCTCTCAGGAATTAGCTTACAGTAACCAGGAACATAGTTACATTTTGGGTGTGATAGGTTTAATCCTTGCTTTGAGGTTATATAGATGGCATTTTTTAAATTAACACTAGTTATTTTTTGCTCCTTCCACTTTTAAAGTCTTTTTTTCTTTTTATCCTGATCCCTCTGGCTCTTGCACAAGTGAGAATCATTAGTGTTGGATCCAACTTTGGAGGACAGGATCATCTCTGTCCTCAAGCCATTCATCACCCTCTCTTGCCATGGATATATGGCACAGATGGCACAGTCTTCACATCTTAAAAAATCTCCAGATACTCTAGGTGAGAGTGTAAGAGTATATATGTAGCAAAAGAAATTCCATCCACTTGACAGTCCCACCCATTCTTTTGATTTCTTTGTGTCATTGGTTCTGATTTTTCTTGGTTAAAATGGTTTTCAATGGTATCAACTCAAACATGTTCTCTTGCATATTTTATATATAATATCTATAGATACATACATGTGTAAATACACGTGTATAAGTACAAAAAAGAAAATGTATGTGATATATACAATGTATAGATGATGGCATTTTCAGGCCCAATTTAGTTTCAGAGATTTCATGGTAGTTGAGGACTCTGACCCTGTTGGCAGCTCATTTGAGGAACAATATTCTTTCACACATTTTTCATTCTTACAGGCATTTTGGCTCACATTCTTCATTCTGAGAAAGTGTCATAACTATCTCCAGGATACTGAATCTCTTGAATCTTCAGTTACTATTCTGTAGAACTCTTTGACTCCATTTAGAATTGGCCTTAAAAATAAATAGTTTCTGAATTTGAGGGGATCCCCTTTCAAAACTGATTAGATTGTGCCTCTGTTTTTGCACTTGTCAGGCCTGTGTGTGCATAATTTTAGCCTGTAATGGCAGGTCCAGATTGCTCTGTTCATTTTTTTGGCTTCAAAACTGGGGGAGAGTCCGGTTTACAAATTTATCTGTGCTTGCATTTTTTCATAATTTCTACTCCAGTTGCTACTTTAAATTCTATCTAAGAGGCCAAGAGTGGAGAGATGATCTTTAAGTCTGATGTAACCTATATAATCATTAGATAATCTAAGAGTTCTATATTTCCCACTCAGTTTTTTATTGGAAGTGGAAAAATCATTTGTGCAATTCAAAGCTCTTTTATAAATAGCCTATTTTTATTCTACAGTCATGTTAAGGTTAAGATATTGATTCACCGACTGAGGCCACAAATCTGTTCTAAGGCAAAAGGAACATAGCTGTGCAATGAAAAATAATTTAAGTGTAGCTAAAGTGTGACATGGATGGGCAATCATGAAGACATAAGAATGCTTGGCACTGTTCCTTTTCTGTTTATTCTTTGCAGCGAATGGGTAGGGTGAGGTGAGGGATAAAAGTCGTCTTCATTCAGGTAAATTGCTTTTCCTCTTTCCTCCACCCTGCTGACATAAATTACAGCCTTACAGCATTCTCCAGGGCAAGGTTTTCTGATCATCTGCCTGCAAGTTTCAAAGTGAACTGCTATCTAACTTGGGGGAACCAATGCTTTAGATAAAATATATTAGATCTTAATGTGTATACGATCAACAGTATTGCCTCAAGGGGAATGCAATGTTAATGTGTGTACAGACCCTTTGGGATCATGTTAAAATACAAGTTTTGTTTCAATGAGTCTGGGGTGGGGCCTGAGAGTCTGCATTTCTAAAACACTCTCAGATGAAGTCTTTACTGTTCGTTCGTTCAAGGACTATGCTTTGAGTAGCAAGGTTCAAATAATTATCTTCTGGATCACTATAGCAGAAATTGGGACATTCTCTAAGAAGTACTGCTTAAAGAGAAAAAAAATTCAAACAGCAAAACCTGCATACAGGGTGGTATTTGAATACACTTCTCCATATCTGTAATGATGCCTTACATGTTTTTTTCAAAGGCATTCTTTTCCCCCACAAGATGACTGGCAATTTTGTGTTCTAGCCACCCTCAGACATGAAAACACTTGGTTGCTTATCTTGTAAAATCTGCTCTGCTTGCTTGCTTGGGCATGTATGTAGTCAGTTTAGTCAAATACGTGTCAGTACATCTATGTGGATGGGGGAGCAGGTGCAGGCCCTAACGTACTTTAAAAAAGTTTAACGCTTAAGTCAGTCCACTGAGTTGATCCCGTGTGATCTTAGTGCCAAGTGTCTGAGTTAAAAGGTTTCCCTTTGAAGGCAGCAAATAGATGTCATACATTTAAAGCATTTGTTTATACTAAAATGATGCTTGATTTTTCTTTTTTAAGTCCTAAGATATTTCACTGTACAACACCATGGAGGCTAGAGGGTGATAAAAAGCTTCCCAAGCAGGTATTTGAGGTTCAGTTAGATGGATATTGGAATTTATGATGCCATGGTTGGCTTCAAATAAGGTGCTGAAGTGAATGGACTCTGGCTAGGAAAATCAAAAGAAATTGATTTTTCTGCAATGGGGGTCAGTGAAGTAATAATGTTGGTACCTCCTTTTTTAGCAAAATGTCCTACAAAGATCATCTGTTTAGCAGCCTCATTTACAGGGATCAGTGTTTAGGGGAGCACTTTGAAGATTTCTTACAAGCAACACAGGTTTGAAATTTTGCTGAAGAAATGCTAAAATGAATGAATTCCTAATCTCAAATATACCCTTTACATATATAACATGTAATATGCTATATATCTGCACATATGTATAATACATAGATACATCACATACATATATACATACATACACATGTATACATTATATATATCGTACTATACACACACACACACAGTATACCCAGGGGAAAATTTTTTTTTTGTTTCTGTCTAGAGTACAGATGCTGAGCATAGGGCACCTAATTTTTTTATTCGTTGGGCTTATTTCATTTAGAATCTCTACATTTTGAATTGAGTCCCTCTAAGGTGCTTAAGCAGCATGCCAGACACTGACTTGAGCACCACTTCAAGCCACTTTTGCCTGGCACCCTGGGCCCCACTCCAAGGCAGTGCCAGGAGCACGTTATTGTTGCAGTACATTCTGACGGGGAGATCTCTCTGCAAACCACCAATTTGCTTGAAGCTTCCCTCATAAGGAGCAGGATCTCATCTGGACTGCATTTACACTGGAACCACTTGGCCACAACACTATGAGAGAATAATTATTGAACTATTTTACTGTACAACTATTTCCAAATTGTTGATTTTTTATTGATTTCAGGAGGCAAGCTAATTGCCCCATGGCAACTTGATGTGAACATTTAATGAAGATCAGGAAACAGAGTTTATGAAAAGCTTTTGTATAGTAACTGCAAAGTTTCAAGAACTGTTTTATACTTCCTGACAGTGCTGGGCCTAGCTTAATGGTTTGTTTTTATTACTTAAGTGTGTAAACCTTGCTTTAGCCCGTGTGTGGAAACTATACCCTCATCCTGCATTACGCATTTTCAAAGTTGCTTTTTATTCACTCCCGACTTCCTTTCCTGCCATCCACAATCAGGACGTTTTCTGTTTTGTCTGAAAGCAAGTTTCTATCTTTGCATGCTGAGAATCTTAACACACACGCACATACACACACTTATGAAGTTAAGTGTCTATTGTTTCACTTTGTTTTGGGTGGAGTTTCTTTTCGGCACTTGGTTGCTAGACGACCAAGCAGACAAAAGTTAAGATTGAAAAGACATTTTTAAAGATGTCGAACTGTTTTATCTTTATGCAGAAGGCTTAGTTTTTCTTACTAGGTTACCCTGGCCTTTTGTTGGGTAGATGGCTGGTAGGAGATGTTTGGAAGTTGAACTCTTAAGGCATGATCTGTTTGAGAACTGTAAGTGTTGTTCTTGTTTGCTGGAACATGCTTCCCACCTGGATGGATAAAAAAAAAAAGCCAGCTTAGTTTCCAGGAGTGTGTTTTAAATCACTAATAAAGTTGAGCTCCAGCTTCCAGCTGCTTCAACTGTTGCAAGGCAAAGAGGTAGAGGAAAGATTTCTTTTCAAGGTAACATTCAGAAACACAGGACTTCATTTGGGGGAGAACACTGTCTCCAGAAAGCTGCGTTTGGTGTTTAGTACATAGTATGGGAAATGTTTTTAAAACTTTTTAAAAGCCTCATTTTAAATCAAAGTTGTTTAAATTGCTCATTTCAAGTAAGATGTTTCAGGAGCATTTTATAAATACAGGATCTTTATACATCTGCCAAGTTGGACATGTGTTCACAAGTTCGCCTTGCATGTGTACACAATTGGTAGCTGACCTGCTTTCCTCACTCAAGGTCTGCCCTTTTCCCTTGTTCATCCTCGGAGATGCTGCTTTTCTGTCTCTTCTCTTCTCAGGGTTCC